TTCAGAGCTATAGTTATAAAAACAGCATGGTACTGGCACAAAAATAGACACGTAGATCAATGGAACAAAATAGAAGACCCAAACATGAGTTCATATAATTTCAGCCATCTGATATTTGACAAAGGTGCTAAGAACACACAATGGAGGAAAGATCGCATCTTCAACAAGTGGTACTGGCAAAACTGGATCTCCACCTGCAGAAAAAATGAAACTTGACCCTTTCACCCTGCACAAAAGTCAACTCCAAATGGATCAAAGACTTCAATATAAAACCTGAAACTCAAAAACTGCTAGAAGACACCATAGGCAGCCCCCTCCATGATATAGGCATAGGAAAGGACTTTCTAAACCAGATACCAGCTGCTCAGGCACTAAGGTCAACAATCAATAAGTGGGACCTCATTAAATTATCATAAGTTTCTGTACAGCAAAAGAAACAACTAAGGAAGGGAAGAGGAACCCTACTGAGTGGGAGAAAATCTTCACTAGATACACATCCAACAGGGGATTAATATGCAGGATATACAAAGAACTGATAAAAGAAAGAAATAAGAAGATAAATGACCCAATAAAAAGATGGGTGATAGACCTAAACAGAGAGTTCTCAAGCAAAGAAATAGAAATGGATAAGAAGCATCTTAAAAAGTTCTCAGCAGCCTTAGCAATTAGAGAAATGCACATCAAAATCACCTTAAGATTTCATCTTACTCCAGTCAGATTGGCCAAGATCAAGAGAATGAAAGACTCCAAATACTGGAAAGGATGTGGAGAAAGAGGAATGCTTATTCACTGCTGGTAGGAATGCAAACTCATGCGACCACTATGGAAAACAGTGTGGAGAACCCTCAAAAAACTAAAAATGAACATACCATATGATCCAGTGATACCATTCCTTGGCATATACCCAAAGGACTCATTGTACTGTAGAGATATCTGTACATCCATGTTTGTTGCTGCTCTCTTCACAATAGCTAAGAAATGGAAAGAACCTAAATGTCCCTCAACTGATGAATGGTTAATGAAAATGTGATACATCTACCAAATGGAGTTCTACTCAGCAGTAAGAAAAGATGAAATTATGAAATTTGCAGGTAAATGGATGGAGCTAGAGAGTGTGATACTAAGTGAAGTAACACAAGCACAGAAAAGCAAGTGACCTATGTTTGCCCTCATTTGTGGGTTGTAGCACCAAGCCCTTATATGTAAGTATATAAATTCTGAAGTAACACCAGGAGCCAGGTAAAGGCAAAAGATACATGAAGGTAAAGGAAAAGAAACAACCTGAAAGGTAGATAGCAGGGAACAGATGCTACCTGAGGATAGCATTGTAAAAATTTTACTGAAAAATTGTAATTGGCAGGGAGGAGAGGAGGAAGGGACATGCAAGGGACCATAGGGTGGGGGAGCAAGGGAACTTGGGAATGGAAGGATGGCAGGAGTCTGGAGGTACTGGGGGGAGGGTGGGAATGGTGGGGGCACTGTGACTGGGAAGGGAGGGAGGAGGGAAGCCAGAAGGGAGAAAACAGTAGAGTAGAGATGAGTGAATCTTGAGGGGGCTAGGATACCTAAAGGGAAAAGCACTGCCCTAGAAACCCTATGAGAAATGCACATACAGTGTCTGAACATTAATACATATGTATACCGAGGAACTGCTTGGAAGGGAACGCAGTGTAAGATAGAAGAGACTTCCCTTAGAGCAACAAACATGCCGTACAGCACTCATCAAAGAAGCTTCTTTTTGCAACAGATGGATGCTACTGCCAAGTTGCACATCTGGTCGAGCATAGAGAACATGCACCTGGGAGATGCCTAGTACTAGGTGGCACATCTGCAGTCAAATCTCTACAACCAAGGCTCATGGAACATAGTGGAATAAGAGGCAGAGAGAGGGCTAATGCACCCCCCTCAACTCTCACCAGTGAGGCTTCCATGTACATCAGAGTGTGTTACACACAGAAGGCCTCAACGGACCAAGTTTTGGAGAATAAGAGACTGTAGAGTGTACAATGGGACCCCTGTATGGAAGAGGAGGCAGAAAGATTGTACGAGACAGGGCTGGTTCATGAACCTATGAGGTGGAGGTTTCCGGGCCAAAGAAGGCTTGCTCATGTGCGCCTGCAGCAGCTGTAGCATCCAACACAGAACCCACATCAGCTCAATAAACAAGGGCCCAAAGGAGAGGTAAGAAATAGATAGCAGGTCAGCACTAGATTGAGAACTATTTGAGACTGGTTGCTGCTGAGTGACAGAGAGTGTGACTTGCATACAACCACTGAATGGGCTGACTAGACTCCAGTGGATGCATTTGCACTGAAGGACATTTGGGTACAAACTGAATGAATAGGACTCAACATGTATGGCAGAGTGTGTAGGGCTTGGGGTGGGGGCATGAATAGGGGAGAGGGTCTGGATGTGAGTGGGAAATATTGTATGAAATTTTAAAAGCCCCCCAAAAAATAAAGATTGCCAACTCTGTTTCACACACTGCAAATGTTTTCAGTTTGTTGCTTATAGTTTAAAAAATGTATAGTGTCTTGTTTTCTTGGTATTTTATTTATTATTTTTATTTTATGTGTATGAATGTATTGCCTAGATGTATGTGAGTGCACCCATGTTGTGCAATGCCACGGAGGTCAGAAGAGGGCTTCGGATTCCCCTGGGACTGGAGTTAAGGACAGTTTGTAGCTGCCATGTGGGTGCTGGGAATTGATCCCAGGTCCTCTGCAAGAGCAGTCAGTGCTCTTAACCACTGAGCCATCTCTCCAGCCCTGAATTTATTATTTTTAATGTACCAAAAAAGTATTATTCTTTCTCTTATTCTTTGTGCATTCTTTTTGGAGAAAATTTTCACTATTCTAATGTCATGAATATGTTTTCCTATATTGACATCTAAAAGCATCGATTTTTTTTTAGTCTGAGCATGGAGACATGCATCTGTAACCCCCACACTCAGAAAGTTGGGGCAGGAGGATTATTACAGGTTTAATTACAGCCTGAGTTACAAAATGAAACCCTCTCTCAAAAAAAAAAGACTTTAAGATCAAATCGTTATAGTCTAGTTAGTTGTGCTTTGTCAATCAATAAAGCACTGAGGTTATTAAGATGCTGCCACTGGGGTAGCTGGACAAGAAATACAAGGAAACTCCTATTTTTACAGCATGTGAGCCCACAACTATTTCCACGTTTAGTTTAACAGAAATATTTTAGTCTACCTGGAACTGATTTTCATGAACTGTGTGAATGAGCATGTTTGGAAACCCTCAGCAAATCAGGACTAGTACAACTTCCTCAAACTGATAAAGAATGTGTAGAGATGTCTTACACCTGACATCATATGCGGTCAGGGAAAGACTAAATGCCTTCTGCCAAAGACCGAAACAAGGCAATGTCTATGCCCATTACTCATACCAAATAGTACTGTGAGTCCCAGCCAGAACAGCTTGGCAACAAAATCATATAGATTGGAAAGGGAAAAGGCATCCCTCTTTACCTGATGGCCAATGTAGAAAACTCCAAGGAATTCATCAAAACATAGACAACTCTTCCTCTCAATAAGTTAGTTTATCATCTTACAAATATTTATTATGCTCCACAGATAAGCAAAGAACAGCTGGTACCCAAAATTTAGTGCAGCATTCTCAAAATAACAATGATGGAACAGATTTATGGCTAGCAAGTATAAGGATATTAACCATCCATAGGTTTCACCAAGGCTGCAGCAGGAGAAAACCTTTGAGATGATGTAAAGATCTCTGTATCTTGAGTACATTGGTTCCATAATTGATATGTGACAAAGTGCACATATGTGCAGCACATTCACATGGTGCTGTCAGGATCCTAGGTTAGGCAACACAACACAATTATGTGAAAAGCAACCATCAGAGGGAAATTTGTAGGGGATATAGAGGACCTCTCTGTCATATTTTCCAAAATCTAATAAATATGTAATTACCTCAGAATTAAAATTTTAAAACATACATAAATTTTTAAACAGCTGGAATTTGTTTTATGAAAGGCTTGAGGTAGAGACATATTTTCCTATAGAGAAACAATTATCTAAACACCATTTATTGAAAAGTATACTTTTCTGACAATTTTTGTCCACTAGAGGTTTCTGTTTGTGCTTATTTGTTTTTGTTTTTGATATGGGGTCTTGCTATGTAGCCATATTACATGACTCACTGCATGTCACACTACATGCCACACTACAATCTGCACTGAATGCTATGTTATATACATTATATGCTGCATAGCACATCATGTTACACGTCACATTTTGATGATTAGTTGAAGAGCATCTGGTTTCCACTTTTTCACTATTATATACTATGGTCCTATGAACATTTGCTTACTGGCTTTTGTGTGGATGTACATTTCTGGTTGTGTTGGGTATACACTTAGAAGGCATGCTTCATTCTGGTATGCTTGTCAGCATATCAAGACAGGCCCCTCAGTATTATTGTCCCCTCCTGGTTGGACAGAGACAACTCCTAGACCCTTGCTGTCAGTACCTGGGACCTAGGGCCCATGAAATCTGCCCTCCCACTAAGCAAATGATCCTGTTCTCCAAAGAGGATACTTGCTAAGCTAAACCTAGCACAAGAAGACCTCACTCAGCATCCATGTTTAAACCACTCTAAATTGTTAGGTTTTAAAATGTTTATGCATTATTAGTGCATCTGTGTTACACAACATGCCACTGTGAAGGTCAGAGGACAATTTGTGGTGTCAGTTCTCTCCTTCTACCTTCATGTAGGTTCCAGAGATCAAATTCAGGTCACTAGGCTTGCACAGCAAGCACCTTTACCCACTGAGTCACATCACTCCAGCCCAACCCTAAATTCTTCACATCCACCAAAAACAGCCAGGTCTGCCTGATATCAGTCTAGTTGCTGAATCAAGAGGAAACTGAACATGACCTTGGCTTTGAAAAACTTTCCCATCTGCTCTGTATCCAGAGTGCCATGGTTTTCATTCCAAGTATTACAGTAGTCACCTACCTACACTGATAGCTCTCCCACAGCCTCCTCAAACCATGGGCTGCCAAGCCTTCCAGAATGAAAAGGTGCATTTTCCCGTCCATCAGGTGGAAGCCCGTGAGCACATCTAGGTTCTGCTGGTCTTGGATCTTCATACGCACCCTGAAGGCTGACAGGATCTGCTGGATATTCCGGGTTGGGTAGCTGTCCAAGTCCAGGGCCTTGGCATTGATCTTGGTGATGTCCTGCAGCAGGCTGTTTAAGAGGAACAGCTTCTTGGAGTTGAACACAAAAATGATGCGACTGAACTGGGTACCCATTGAGTCAAGCTCAGGAGCTGTAATTGCAGCACCCAAGGGCACTGCAATGTCTACTCGCAGCTTGAGCAAGGAGTTGGCCTCCATGTACTTGCCTGTGGGCATTGGGCTGTGCTGGAAGGCATCTGTAGGGGCCTGAAACCCTACAACCTTCCTGTTTCTGCTATCTTGGCTCCAGTTGGCAGATTTAGGCTCACAGTTGTGGATGGGAACAATCATGTTCAAGTACTTACGACCAAAAAGGAGGTCAGCAAAACTAACCTGGGCAACACCATAAGGATCCCACATCTTGTTCTGGGACTCAAAATGGTTGTTTTCTGTGTCCTTAGGGGAGATGAAAGATTGGATGTTGAAGTAGGAATCCACAGGGTCCTCTCCGAACAGGGTGGGCTTCTGGGAATAATCTTCTGACTTGCGGTCCCTGTCGTGAACTTCCACCACCATGGGGGGCCCCTCCAGGTACTCTCTCAGGTCACTGGGATGGATGGCCCCAAGGAAGATGACGTTGATATCCTGGAAATACACATGGACGCTGTGGGGCTGCCCCTTGGTCTCATGAACTGGAGTCTTATGGAACTGGTACCTGCAGTACACAGGGGTGCACAGCCTCTACAAGAGAGCAGGAAACAGCAGTCACACTCTGCCTGTAGGAAACAGGTACCCAGAATGGCAAACTTACTCCCCGCAGTCCTGAACCTCCTCATCCACCAGACATCCCAAGGAAGGCCATGCTATGAGGTCAGTGCAGGCCTGCAGGCATCATGTGTATGAACACACACCAAGACTGGTGGCAGTCACAAGACACGGGCTTGAGAACAGCCTTTCTTGCTTTCCCTCCAAAGTGGGAAGTGCCATGAAGACAGAGGTCATGTGTCTCTGTTCAAATCTGTGTTTCTACTTCAGTTCCAAGGCTGTGCATAGAAAAGGTGAGGTTAAGTGATTTTTAGCAAAGTAATCCCACTGGAGTGTGGCTGAGGTGGAATACTTGCCAAACCTGCCTGAGGCTCTGGGTTCAATCCCTAGCCTGAGAAATGGAAGGGATGTGGTGGAAGAGGAAGGGGAAGGAAATAAGGAAGGAGAGGGGAGAGGAAGATCCCCTCCTATAAAACGTCAATCCCTGTTTTTGAGACATGCATCTGAAGGATGGAATATATGCACGACAATAGCTCCAAACTAGAAGTTGCAATGAGGGACGCAGGGAGGCCAGGTTTCAGAGAAAACACAGAATGAGGCAGTAAAAAGTAGGGGTACACAGAAGTAAAAAGCGTGAAGCTGTACATCTTTAATCTTGGTTCAAAGATTTTATAATCTACAGCTGAGCCTTAGACAAGTCTGTGGTCAGAATCACCACATGTACATTTATTTTAAATAGCAGCTGAAATTTTATTTTAAGATAATCATAAACTGGTAGTGATCCCAGGTACCTAGCAGGGATTGGAAGCTATCTCTGAAGAAATTCACTTTCATTCAAGGCCTCAAAGAAATCCCACCACGAAAGTTACAATGAACTTAAAATTACAGTACAAATCATAAAATGTTAAGGAAAAAGATACTATAAAGGAAAAAAAGCACACAGACAGAAAAAACTACAATGATCAGACATAAACTTAAGTATATTTGATAATTTAAGAAAATAGAAGAGGCCAGGCACGGTGGCACACACACCCTTAATCTTAAGAGAGGCAGGAAGATCTATCAGTAGAGGCCAGCCTGGTCTACACATCAAATCCAGGCCACCCAGGGCAACATAGTGTGGCCTTGTCTCAAAAAGACAAAAAAACAAGGGGGCTGGAGAAATGACTCATCATGCTGGATTCAATTCCCAGCACCCTCATGGCAGCTAACAACTGTCCATAAATCCAGTTCCAGGGGATCTGATGCCCTCTTCTGATGTCCACCAGCATTGAACGACATGGGTGCATTTACACTCATACACATAAAATAAAAATATTTTTAAAAGCCGGGTGTAATGGCACACACCTTTCACACCAGCACTCGGGAGGCAGAGGCAGGCGGATCTCTGAGAGTTCGAGAGTTTGAGGCCAACCTGGTCTACATAGTGAGTTCCAGGCCAGCTTGGGCTATAGGGAGACCCTGTCTCAAAAAGACCAAAAAGAAAAAAAAAGACAACTTTTAAATTCAGCTTTAAAACTGCCATTTATGTGCTCACTTCAGCAGCACATGCACTAAAATGGGAGCAATAGAAAGATTTGCATGGCCCCTGCGCAAGGCAACTTTGTGAAGTGTTTCGTAATAAAAAAAAATTCTTTTTAATCCTGACACTTACTTTGGGGCTGGGCCTGGTGGTGCACGCTTTTAATCTCAGCACTGGGGGTAGGGGTGGGGGAATCAATGCAAGCAGATCTCTATGAGTTTGAAGCCAACCTGATCTACATAGTGAGTTCCAGACCAGTTAGAACTGCATAATGAGACTTTAAAAAAAAAAATGTGTTAACCTACCCTTTACAACAGCATAAAAACTACCTAAAACATTATTTCTCTCTCCTCTCTCTCCCTGTATAACCATCCTTCATTCCTTCCCCATTTAAAGTGTCTGCATCTTCCCCACTTCTCCCTTGATAATACCAGTCTCCTATGGTCCCATCTCTCTTGAGCTCCTTCTTTCCCTTTATTCCCAAAGTTCCTTGCATAACCCCCTTTCCTGCTCTCATTTAAATACCCCTGTTTTATCCATTTCTCCCTTAGTAACACCTGTCTCCTACTGTTCTTCTCTCTCAGGTAGTATAAAAAACCAGAGGGAATCATATTAGTCCAACAGCCTAATAATAAATTACACATACAGTATCTCCACAGGAGTCCATGTGTATAGCTGAAGGCTGCATAATAAGAAACACTGCCAGACAGGAAAAACTTTTCTTAGAGTTGTTGGCCAGGGTAGTCCTAGAGACTCCCAAAATTACACAGGCTATTGCCACAGCCCTTGATTGCCTCCCAGAACTTGAAGGTAAGACCCTATTGCTCAAGACAGAACATACTCTGGTCACAGGATTTGGAGCCGTGAAGGTAGAACTGACTTGGAAACCACTTCCCCTGAAGGCTAGTTCTAAAAGCTTTGGAGAGCACTACACAAGCTGCTAAGGGAGAACATCAGTCAAGGTCCAACACCAGTTTCAAGACCAAATAACCACATCAATGACCCACACAGCATACAACATTGGTGCAGTAGTGGCACTTTTATCTTGGGGGCAATCAACAGCTACCTAATTGTACTAAAACTCACTCAATGGAAGGAAACTCATGTGTGGTACTGTAAACATAGCCAAATATACATGACTGGAAAATCCTAGACTTAGAGAAAATCCCAAGACTGTCACATCCCTAGACTAATGTAATTTCTTACTATGTGCAAAATATGTATCCTTACCTTTACAGACAAATACCCCAGTCACCACTCATCAAAGAAGCTTCTTTTGCATCGGAGACTATTACATACACAACTGGTCACACACAGACATTTTTTATGAATTACCCAAACCTAAATGGCACAGCTACAATGCGGCCTTTACACCTAAAGCTCACAGAACATAGAACAAGGGGTAAAGGGGACACTAATGAATATCTCAATTCTTATTAACAAAGTTCTCTCATGCAACAGAGACCCAGGAACACAAAAGGTCACAAATGGCCAAAGCATCGAGATTAAGAGTCTACAGAATGCTGGTTCTTGGACAGGACTCCTGTATTAAACTTCACCCACCCAGGACTCAGGGACCATTGCAGAAAAGGGGGCAGAAAGATTGTAAGGGACAGGGAGGAGGTACATGACTATATGGAAATAGAGTCCTACAAGCTCCTGGGACCCTGCTCATGTGAACCTACAGCAATGGTGTCAGCATGCACAAGACCCTCACAAAATCAAGCAGACAAAAACCCAGCATAGAATTGGAGAAATGGACAGCAAACCTCAATCTTAGATGAAGAAATATTGGCAGCTGATTACTGCTGGGTGAGAAAGAGCTTATCTTCTTAAAGGGAGAGACTCTAGATAAGCTGACTAGACTTCAGTAGATGAACTTGCACTGAGGAACATCTGGGGACACTAACTTGACACAATAGGCCTTAACAGAAATGACAGAATGTATGAATGTATGGGAGGGTGTAGTGGGGAAGGGGGTATAAAGATGATTAAGATTTATTGAGATATTCTATATGAAATACAGAATTCAATGAAAATTTTAAAAGAAAAAAAACTATGTAAGAAGAAATTAAGTGAAAGCTGGAAATTCTAAAAAAAAATTCTGTAAAGAAAGAAGAGTTAAATAAAGGAAGATATTTCATGGCCAGAAAAAAATGCACCATGGACCTAAACATAAAGCTAAAGTTTTAAATCTTCTAGGAGACGTAGCATGTCTTCATGAACTAGAAGTATGCTATGGTTTGCATATGAAGTGTCCCAACAGATTGTGGGACACTTGGGAAGTCACAGCTTGGGAAGTAGTGAAACCTCTGGGAGGTAGGCCTAGCTGCAATGAGTCGAGCTCATCTCTGGAAGTGGGCCTTGAGTTTTACAACGCAGCATCACTTCCTGTCCTGGTTCTGGTTCCTAGTCCACCATGATGTGAGGAAGCTGACTGACACTCCTGCCACCATGCCTTCCTGACCATGAGAGGATGTACCCCAAAACTGTGAACCAAAACAAGCCCTTCCTCCATAAGTTGCTTCTTGTCAGGAATTTGTTCACAACAAGAAAAGTAACTAATGCTGGATAGAAAAAGGTAACAGGACACAAAAATCACTCAAGATTATAGAAAAGGAGCAGGGAATGGTAACACATGTCATTAATCCCAGCACTCGGGAGGCAGAGGCAGGCGGCTCTCTGTGAGTTCAAGGCCAGCCTGGTCTACATAGTGAATTCCAGGACAGCTGGGGCTACAGGGAGACCGTCTCAAAAAGACAAAAAAAAAAAGATTATAGAAAAGGTTAGAAAGTTAGACTTCATTGAATAATATATCATTTAGAAAATTAAGGCCGGGGCCCATACTGGCAGAAAACACTTATAGTACATGCATATTTGCTATAATGGAGATTGGGGGGGCAGCTGTCATTTAAGCAGTAGTTAAGAATGAAGTGCAAGAAAATATGCTTGACAGAAGGAACCTGACACAAAACACATTGAGTGCAATCAGAGCTGAGAACGGGCTAGTTGATGATTTCCAACAAACTGGCAAGTGGCAGTGATCATCTGTTGGAGCCATCCACACAAACAGTAGTACAACTGCCAGTAGAGATCATTAGGTCACTACCACAACTGAAAACTGCTTCAGACTCTCAGGCACAAACTGTCTCATGGCACCCTTCAATGACTGAGTACCTGTTTCCCTACCACTGCTTTGCCAGAAGGGAAACCAAGCTGCTGACCTCATTGGCAACCTTTTGGGAGGGCTTGGGTCTCTGTGGCCCCCTTCCCCTCCAGGTTTGACAGCTTTTTCCTGATTGGCCCCATTATGCTTCATTGCATGGACATACACTCCACCAATCAGAACTCATCAGGTTCTATATGACAGTACATACAGCATTTTTCACCAATCCAGTTCCTAGGCAGAGTTCTCCTCTCAGTCCAGCTGGGGCTGAGGACTTGGCTTCCAGCT